GAGATGCTACAAAATAAACCTGTGCTACTCTCGCAAGTGCTTGTTTTGGGCCATTACAACTGAATGTCTCAGAACTAGAGAAGTCTCCCTCCTTCAGAAAAGACCTGGGTTCACATACAGACATTTGGCTCCCACTGTGAGAATAGCCGCTCTTCCAGTAGGAACCAAGAGTGTACAGATGTTTCAGCTTTCTCTCCTGGAGCAAAAATAGAGCATCTGAGAGAAAAACTGCTCGACTCCAATCAGGCAGAAGATACTCCCAGGAACAGGAGTGTAGCTGCAGGGAAAGCCTACTATGCTTTTCAGAGCCTGAAGTAACCTCGTCTGGCAAGGGCACAGGGAGCAGGTACTTGTTCCCCTCCTGTAAGCTGGGAGGAGAGTGAAGCAGCAGCAGCCAGCTGCTCCCCAAGAGGTCCGCATACACAGGTGTCCCCAGTGTGAGAAGCAGGCAGGGGACTTTGCTCTCCTGCTCTGTGTACTCAGCTCCCAGACACTGGGAGTCAGACTGAAGGAACAGTGGTGCAAGCTCCCTGCCTGCTTCTCACTCTGGAGCCCCTGGTGTAAGAAGCAGGCAGAGGTCTTACTTTTGCTGCTCTGTCTGCTTGGCTTTCTAGCCCTGGGAGTCCCTGGAATAAGCAGCAAGCAGGAGGGTATGGAAAGGAAGTCCCTGGAATGAGAAGCAAACATCTCCATCTGCTCAGCTCCTAGGCACCATGAGCCAAGTGGGGGTAGCAGTACTGTGAGTCCCATACCACCTTCTTAATCCATAGTGAAAAGTGGGAAGGGGTCTTTGCCTTGATGCTCCCCATGCTTTCTCCAGATCACAAGCACCCTGGATTGTGGAAAAGTGTGAGAAGCAGGGGAGAGAGGGCAGTTAGTTGCCAAGTGACCACCTGCACTGCTTTTTTTCCCAGACTTACTTCTAGAGGTGGAATTTTTTTCTACAGCTAGAAATGCAAGACTGTATGCAGCTCAGAGATCAAAACAAAGACCTCCCTATTCTGGGAAGGCCTAGACTTGGGGACCAGAAGATAGCACTGAAAATGCAACTGCCTACCCAGAATATTATATAGGAAGGCCATGGAAATGGCCTGGGATCTGGTAGAATGGACCTCCATTTGGGACTGTAGTTCCACTTTGGTGGTCTCAGATCATACCCAATATTTAGCCAGGCAGTTTCTGGGCTAAGATTACTGTACCATTCAATCTCTCTGCTAAGGTTAAAGAGCCATGGAGATTTCTGAAAGGCCTGGTTCTGCATGCGTAATAAGTCAAAGCTTTTTGACATCTAAGAAATATGGAAAAGCACTCAAGGAGGGGGGAAAAAGACACCTCCCCACCTCAAAAGACTATCTCCTGGTCCAGATGGAAATCGCCTTAACGTAAGAAAATGCTATGAGAAGGTCCTTTAGAAATCTTCAGACTATTGGGTAGCAGAACACATGCCATTATTCACTAAGTGAATACAACACTGAAATGGCTGCCCACTTTAATGGAAGTGATATAGAGGTTAGCATGCTTAAGCTCTATCAGATAGTCCAGAAGGAGTGGTAAAATAGGACAAGTTAAGGTTAATGCTTTTTCCCTGACGCCAAGAAAAATGGGACAAGTGGTAACATTCTGATAACTCTTACTTAAAGTAACAGGACGTCCTTATTGGATAGAAGCCTGGGCTGAGGTTTCTCCTGAATCATAAAGATAGGCATTTCTTGTTGATGCTGTTCGGAAAAAGAGCTACTGATGGGTAACCCAAATTTGCAAAAATAGACCTGAAATCCTCAATCTCCCATTCATGATATAGGGGTATAACTCTGCTGAGGCAATGCGCCGAGTGGGTAGGGGAGCTCTTGTTTGGAACTTCTCTGGCCTGAGTACCCCCTGAAACCAGCCTAGAGTAGAGATGACTACCTCCAACTTCAAGACCCTGGACTTTCAGTTCCCAGCCTTCCCAGGTTTTCCACAGCTTTGATTCTTTAATGTTACCTTCCAATTCTGCTTTTAAGAAAGGGACTTTGCCTCTTGCTGGGGAGAAGTGCAACACAAAAATCACAGGCAGAAAAACAATAGCTCCTTTTCATTAAAAACATTTATTGTGGCAAAGGCTGCCCAGCCAGAGTTTCTGTCTCCCTCTGAAGGGCTAAAGCAGGCCTCCTACCATCTCCAATTCAGCTCATATAGCTTGAGCCCTGCAAAGTTACTCAGCTACTCTCTCCTCAGTCTATAAAGCCATAAGCCCCAAAGGGAGTCAGTGAGTCTTTCTTCAGACTCTTTTGGGTCACCACCCTCTTTCCTTGCCCGTCTGTCCATTGTCATGGCTTATCAGTCTCCTCACTTTGGGGAAGATGTACCAGAGGCACCAAAGGATGAATACTAAAGCCCACCTTTAGTTCCACACAGCTAGTCTAGTTCTGTTGATACTGAAGATCCTTCTAGCCTTGTCCCACATGTGGGCAGCTCTGGCATTTAGCAGGGATCCTTATTAACCCCTTTTTCTATGTGTATTAGCTTCACAGGGAATCAACATGAGGACATCGAACAGAGATGTAACAATAAAATGAATAATGCACCACACCACGTGCTTCTAGCTTTGTAGGCTTGTAGGGTAAGGAATGTCACCAGGTCACAGAAATGCAAAAAGTTAC